GGATGTTTCGGTGTGTTTTGGGTATATTTAGAAAGCGCGTGGCTCGAACCGGGCAATTTGGCGCGGAGAGTGGGTAATTATTTCATTAGTCTCCCGGTGTTTGTTGTCAAAGTAGGAACTGCGTGCCAGCGCCGTCATGTCATCTCGATCCATCGTTACGCGAAGCTGACAGCTTGCTAATTATACGTTCTGCATCCTGATATGAATAAGTATCGGCATTGTGCTCCCGTAGAGACACCACTACCACTAGCTGCAGCAGCAACAGCAGCAGCAGCAGCAGCAGCAACAGCACCAGCAACAACAACAACAGCAGCAACAACAACAACAGCAGCAACAGCAGCAGCAGCAGCAGCAGCAACAGCACCAGCAACAACAACAACAGCAGCAGCAACAACAACAACAGCAGCAGCAACGGCAGCAGTAGTAATAGCAGTAATGGCAACAGAAGCAGCAGCAACAGCAGCAACAACAACAGCAGCAACAACAGTAACAGCAACAACAACAACAACAGCAGCAACAACAACAACAGCAGCAACAACAGCAGCAGTGACGGCAGCAGTAGTAATAGCAGTAATGGCAACAGAAGCAGCAGCAACAACAGCAGCAACAACAACAACAACAACAACAACAACGACGACGACAACAGCAGCAGTAACAGCAGCAGCAGCAGCAGTAATATCAGTAACAGCAGCAATAGGACCAGTAGCAGCAGCAGCCGCAGCAGCAGCAGCAGTAACAGCATCACTAGGACCAGCAGCAGCAGCGGCAGCAGTAGCAGCAGCAGCACCACTACCAGCACTAGTAACGCTCACTCTGACCCCGAGGTCGCGTAGTATTACGTCACTGCCGACTGCGTTCACTCTTACTCTCCGTTTCTCCATTCAGCGACTCTATCGTTCTACGATTACATCATCAAAGTATTCCAACTCACTGATGATCGTAATAATTTCCCGCAGAGTCAGCACAACACACACACACTCTGGGTCTCTCTCTCTCTGTCTCGCTCTCTCTCTTGCCTGGGTCAGTGTCGCATGGGGTTCCTCAGCTATTGATACACATATAATAATTACAGTAGCATTTATGCGCGCGTAATTCGACACTAAAGCTTCAGTGATGCTAACGGTGTCAAGTGTACCTCGGGGGCATCTCTCATCGCCTTCCCTCCCACCTCCCCTCCCCTCCCACCTCTCCTTCTCTCCCACCTCCCCTTCTCTCCTATATATATATATATATATACCTATATATATGGTCATGGTCATATATTAGTTTGTGGTTTAATGTCATTTAGGTTAGGGTTAGGGTTAGGATTATCAATCATTAATCATTAATCATTAATGATATCAAAGTTGGAAACACTCCTAATGGAGCGTTAGTTCGGCATTTGTGAGGGAGCAAGAACCGTAATTATCAAGCCAGACCTCTCCGATAGAGTGCGAGCGACAGCGGGAGGAGCCGAGAATGGACAGACATACGGCGCGTGGAGGCTCCCCCACCGACAGCCGCAAAGAAAACTCGCACAGCGGGGTAAGAAAGGGACGCAATTTGGCCAAAGTAAAACGAACACAGCGGCGGCAGCGCTCGGGATGCTGTGTGCGGACAAGCTGGGGGTGCGGCCCGCACAAAAGTCTCGAGTGAAAACAACAATTAGTTGATTACGTTTACAAGAGCCCGCGTGTGTGGGTGGGGGGCGGGTGTCGGGGTGAGGGGGTGGGGGTGGCAGAGTCCGGGATGCAACCCGTGCGAGTCTATAAGAACGACTTCACAGTTTGGCTGGCCGACGCACGCAGGGGGCCCAGCCATTCATCGCAGCTCGCTGATGGGAAAATGATAGAGAGCGAACGACGAGAAACTGCGGGAGCTTTCTCTCTAACTTTCTCTGTGTGTGTGTGTCTCTCTCTCTCTCTCTCTCTCTCTCTCTCTTTCTCTATCTTCCTATCTCTCTCTCCGCATTGCGCTCTCTCTCTCTCTTTCTTTCTTTCTCTCTCTCTCTCTCTCTCTCTC